AGCAGTCAGACAGTCGGTAAGGGCACAGTTGAACTGAATATCCATCAGTCAAATGGATCTAATTGACATGTATAAAATACTTCACCTAATGACAGCAGAACACACATTTAACTTAAGCTCACATGAACTTATTCATCAAATCTTATTCATCAAAATAGACCACATTATTGGCTATAAAATACACCTGAACACATTCACAAGAATATGCATCATACAAAGTACATTCTTAGACCATAGCAGAATCGAAGTACAAATCAATAACAGAAAGATAACTGGAAATTTTCAAAATATTTGGAAATTAAGCAACACAACTTCTAAATAACATGTGTGTTAAAGAATAAGACTCAAGATGAATTTTTTAATATTTTGGATTAAATGAAAATGAAAATGCAACTTCTCAAAAGTCCTGGAATATAGAATCCAATGGAGATTCAGAAGTTAGTACTACCACAGAAATAGTAGAGAAAAAAGTATGCTGTAGCTGGGCATGGTAGCACATGATTATAATCCCATTACTGGGGAGACTGAGGCAGGAGGATCATCAAGAGTTTGAGGCTGGGGCCAGGAATTTAGCTCAGTGGCACCACACCTGCCTTGCAAGCACAAGGTCCTGAGTTCCATCCCCGGTACCAAAAAAAAAAAAGGAGAGAGAGTTTGACGCCGGCCTGCACTACATAGCTCAAGGTTATTCTGAACTACACAGCAAGACCCTGTTTCAAAAAAAAAAAAAAGTTGTAAATTTTACTATGAATGGCAATAGCAATTTACAGAAGAAAAGTGAAATGAAGAGAAAAAAGCTATTTGTTGTACAAGAAAATAAAATTTAAAAATTTAAATGATTTCAATAGAGATCATTTAAAGAGATCATTTAATAGAAGATGTTTGACATCATTAGCCACCAACAAATGCAAATCAAAACCAAAATAAAAAGCTACTTCATATTCACTATGAAGTATTGTGACTATAATTGGAAGATAGATTATAACAAGTGTTGGCAGGGGTGTGGAAAAGTCAGAATCCATTTATATATATATATTTATTTATTTATTTTTGGTACCGGGGATTGAACTCAGGTCCTTGCACTTGCGCAGCAGATGGCAAAACCACTGAGAGCTAAATCCCTGGCCCAGAATCCATTTATTGCTTGTGGGAATGTAAAACGGTGCAATCAATTCAGAAAAGTCTGAAAGCTTCTCAAATGGTTTAATATGGAGTTACCATGATGTTATGTTGATTTCTGTGCAAAGTTCTAATTTGACAACTCCATTACATCAAATCCAACAGATATTAGACCTATTAAATCAACAAATTCCAGCAAGTCACCTAATGATGTAATTGAAGTTAAGGCTCTAGAGAAGAAGAAAAGTGATTTTGTTATTGATTTGACAAAAGAAAGCCTATCCAACTACAACACAGAAAGTCCAGTATTCACCCTGCAGTCACCTTCGAAGGCTGTTTTAAACTCAAAAGAAATAACTCCGGTGGCAGAAAATGCAACCGAGGATTTGGATTCCTTTGAGCACCTGCCACCTCCCCCAGAACCATTGCCACCACCGCCTGAACTGATGGACCAAATTGGAGACATGCTCCCTCCCCAGAAGCCTGAGCTGAAAGTGAAGTGGGCGCTAAGACCCACGGCCATCGCCTTAACCTGGAACATCACCAAGATCGACCCCAGGTGTGCTCCTGTGGAAAGCTACCACCTCTTCCTATGCCACAAGAACACTAATGATAAGTTGATTTGGAAGAAAATTGGAGAAATTAAAACTTCACCACTCCCAATGGCCTGTACTTTATCAGTTTTTTGCTTCCTCCAGATACTATTTTACTGTTCAGTCAAAAGACATTTTTGGGTTTTATGGACCATTTTGTGACATAAAATCAGTTCCTGGGTTTTCTAATAACTTTATGTAAAAGTTCAGTAATTATTTGTTGTGTTTGACATGATCTGTTTTTCGTATTTGAGTTGTTAGTTTACAATGTTACTGTAACACTACTTACCGTTTTACAGGGCCAAATTGTGAGCCCCTTGTATGAGGACAGTCCTCTTCCATTTTTTGTAATTAGCTTATAATTCCATGAATTTCTGACTTGCATAGATTTCCTCTGTGTGTGTGTGTGTGTGTGTGTGTGTGTGTGTGTGTGTTCTCAAACATACTGTTGTGGGCCCATGTTGCTAAGGTGTCTGGGATACAAGCAGCCATTGTTGCCTCTGTCAACAATCAGCTTTGGTGACCTGCTTGTGGTCAGTGTAGCGCTAAGAAAATTGGCCCTTAACGTCTTCCCATTCTGTTAGAATTCTAGGTGGGCTATGGATCTGTGCCCCTCTCCTTATTTATTTTATTATTTTATTTTGTTATTCATTTAGAGAAGTCTAAAGTTTTTGCTGAAGACTGTTGTATGCTTATGTATAAAATGTGTTAAACATTGTGTGCTGTGTACACAAAAACATACACCATCTCATAAAAACACTGTTCAACCTGCTTTAAAAAAATATGGAGTTACCATATAAGCTAGCAACTCCATTCCTAGATATACAACTCAAAGAAATGAAAACATGTATACCCACCAAAATTTGTATACAAATGTTCATAGCAGAACTATTCATAATAGCCAAAAAGCGAAAACAACTCAAATGTCCATCAAATGATGAATGGATAATCAAATGTGGTATATCCATGCAATGAAGTATAATTCAGCAATAAAAAAGAATCATGTAGTGATATATGCTACAAGACGAATGAACCTTGAAAACATGTTAAATGAAAGCTGCAAGTCACAAAAGACTTACTACTGCATAATTCCATATCAAAGAAATGTCAGAATAAGCAAGTCTACAGAAACACAAAATAGATTAGTGGTTGTCCACTGTGGGGTTGGGGAGGTTGGAAAAAAAGGAGTGACCACTAATGGGTTCTGTTTTTCTAGAGTGGAAAAATATTCTAAAACTGATTATAATAAACTGGGTACAGTGGTACATATCTTCAATCCCAGTACTCTGGGAGGCTGAGGCAGGAAGATAGTAAGTTTAAACTCAGCCTAAATAACTTGGCAAGACCTTGCTTCAAAATAAAAATTTTAAAAAAGGGCTGGGGATATAATTCAGACCAAAGGCTCTGGGTTCAGTCCCCAGTACTGCAAACTGATTATGGTAATATCTGACAACTCTATGACTACACTAAAATCATTAAATTGTATCTTCAATGATTAGTTGTACAGTGTGTGTTTTTGTTCAGGCTGATGTGTGTGCCTATAGTTTCAGCACTCAAGAATCTGAGGTAAGATAGCTTGAATCCAGAAATTGGAGGGAAGCCAGGACAACACAGTGAGATTCCCCATCTCTAAACACAATTTGTTTTCAAAAACAAAAACGAAACAAAACAAACAAACAAAAAACTGGGGATGTGGCTCAGTGTGAAGGCCCTGGGTTCAATACCCAGTACTCCCCTCCAATTTTTTTTTTGCTCGGGATATACTTGTAAATGTTACAAATGCTGGCCAGTTTATGGAATGGTTAAAGGAAATAGAAGACAAATTTAATTAATCATCTTGTGTTCCTTGAGCTTGTTGGTTGAGAGGAAGAGCTTTACAAAGATTTAGCCTTTTATTAACTCGGAGATTTTCTTGTGACACAAGGAATAGTTGATATGTATTTTTATAATAAAAATAAAACAAGGCAATGTAATGTGTTCTCACTGATATCATAATGCATATAAACTTGCTAAATTTTAAGTTCTAAGCAGGAAAAGCTTATTTGTGACTAACTAGATGAGCTTGAGCAATTATGTTGAAATAGACACTACAGGGGCCGGGGATTTAGCGCAGTGGTTCCACCGCCTGGCTAGCAAGCTCAAGGACCGGAGTTCGATCCCCAGCACCAAAAAAAAAAAAAAAAAAAAAGAGAGAGAGAGAGAAATAGACACTACAGAAAACAAGTCCTGATGAACATAACAAAAGCTAATGGTTAACTGATTAATCAGATTATTCCAGCGCCTAGAGCTTCAGGCCTGGGCTAGCACCCTGCCACTGTCTTCTGGAGTCCAGACAAGTTAGAAGCCAGATTTCCCCACCCGCGCTACCAAGGTTAGAAGGTTATTCTTTCAACTGCAGAAAATATCTCCAAGTCAGATATGATTCCAGTACTGGGAAAATCCAAGATCATCGTCTGCCCTTTTACTGTTTTATTTTCTACTACACATGATGGGAACAATTAATATCCACCCAATCGACTTCACCAGCCTGCGGGAAGCAAGCGGGCTGACATATTTGAAAATACAGTATTGAGAAAAGATGACGGGGGCGTAGCACAGTCTGGGTTTGAATCAAGTCCTGCCGCGGCCCTGTGGGACCAGGGGGTAAGTCATGTAGCTCTGAACTACTTCCTCAACTGTAAAAATGAATTCCCTTTCACGTCCCCAGACTGGCAAGGGTGAGGGGAGTCAGGGAGTCGGCACCTGGTACACAGCAAAGGGGCGGGAGACTATCCTCACAATCGGCTTCTAAACTCTAGCTCTGGGCTTCTCTGGCCCAACTCTTATTTACTGATGAGAAAGGCTCAGAGACCAAGTAACCTTCCCATGGTTGCACACGCACTGTTATTTATCGATCCAAAGGCCAGTTGGAGGTGTCCCGGGCAATGGCGGCTCCGCAACGTGGCTGCTTCCCAGCAAAGTCGAGGCATGCCACATAGCGGCCTGTTTGGGCATTACAAGGGAGGCGAGGTGAAAAAGACACTGGTACTGCGGCATCCAGCAGCCAATACTCTCACTTCGCTCAGCTAACTCTTTTTTCCTATTGGGCTTATCTAACTTTCAGTCAAATCATTTACGCAGCTTTTGTTGGCTTGCCTTGAATCATTTTCCACAATCTACCAATAACATGCTTCTTTCCAAGATCACCTTCACGTCATTAGAGCTACTCCCGAGTCTGACGAATTTAGCCGGTTCCTTTCATTCCATTGGCCAGATCAAGCCCCTGCTTCTTCCCATCCTGTTTAGGGCGGAAGTGACAGAGTCCCTATTTCTATTGGTTTAAATTTGCAAGCGGCGCTTGTCTATCAAGTTTATGAAGTCGGCTTTAGCACTCCGGAAGTATGGCACCGGAAGGGGCGGGACCCGTCAAGATGGCTGCGCCGGTAAGTGCCTTGTGCTTTCTTCCTTTCGCAGTTATGGTTGCTGCTTTCTTTTGTTTCAGCGGCTCGAGACAGACTGTTGGCACCAGGGAGTGAAGGTGATAAAAGCTGCTTCAGGGAGATGGCCTCCCTGGCACAGCGGGGCAAGAGCAACAGTAGGGAAACTTAGGGCTGGAATTACAGCGGCTTTCCAGTTAACCTGAGGGACTGGCTGAGGCGAGCTCCCACTGCACCAAAAAGAGAAGGCCCGAAGTGTCTGGGGTGTTCGGAAGAGATGGGGGAGTTTCTTACTCTAGATGTTTTGGCTCATCATCCTGTGTAAAGAATGACTTTTCGGGGCCGAGGATTTTAGCTCAGTGGTTTCGCCGCCTGCTGCGCAAGCGCAAGGACCCGAGTTCGATCCCCGGTACCAAAAAAAAAAAAAAAGAATGATTTTTCATCTCCTTGTTGTAGGAGGTACTGGAGTCAGAGGTAACAAATGCCGTGACACTTTTGAAAAATCTCCAGGAACAGGTGAGTAGATTAGTCACGGATTGGCTTTAACTTTCTGTGTGTCATACCCAAACTTTGGTGATTTGAGGCAGAGATTTGAATGCTACCGTACCTTTAGGGTAACATGATTTAATGAAAATCTTTTCAGACTAGAATTCAAAGTAATTGATTTTTGCATCCAAAGAGATACAGAAAACTGCAAAAGGAAAGAATCATAATCAATTTCCTTTAGTCTTACAACTAGGGAAACGAATGCTGGTAAAGTGATATGATTGGCACTTTGGGTGCCTAATATACATTTATGTAGTTCTGAGGTTTGTAAGTTCAATCAGTACAGATAAAGTTATAGTTCTCCCACCACCACTGTTCCAGCCCTCACCCTTTCGCTATGGTTTGGTAAACATGTTCTCTTTAGCTATCAGAAGAAACTAAAAAATTTTTTTCTACCTTTTGAAGAACTATCAGAAACCATCTCAGAACTGAGAAGATAGTACTGTTATTTTGCGTGTCAGATAACTTTTTGGTAGCATTGTTTAGTTTTTACTCATTTCAATTCACAGACATGATTTGTAGTCTAGTCAGCCTTTATTTTTGGGCTAATTTCAGGTGATGGCTGTAACTGCACAAGTACAGGCACTGACAAAAAAAGTTCAAGCTGGGGCATATCCTACAGAGAAGGTAAGATGTACTTTTGGAAGAGTTAGCATCCCTTGACTTGATGTTCTCAGTAGTTCTTGATCATAGATTTATTGTATATTATGTTTCCTAAATGCTAGAGCATCAAAGGATGAATGAGCTGGAGTCTGGTGGGGAAGATAATCAAAAGGATAGATATGGGGCCAGGGATTTAGCTTAGCGGTTCCACCTCTTGCCTTGCAAGTGCAAGGTACTGAATTCGATCCCCGGTACCAAAAACAAAAAAGGATAGATATGAGCAGTGGCAGCCATGTTACAGAAGTGCAGTGCCAGCCACTGAGTGACATTAACTGCCAGAGGAGCAGAGGGAGTAAAATAAAGTTTCTCAGAAAGATAATGGGACTTTGAGGGATAAATAGGAGTTAGAGGGACAGAAAGAAGCACTGTGTGCAAAGGCACAAAGGCCTGAAAGCATGGTGATATTCTGGGGAAAGAGATAAGTGATTTTTGTGAATGGATATACATTTTGTTTCATAGGGGTAGGAAATAAGACTGGAAAGGTAGTCACACTGAAGAGCCTTGTAGGTCAACTAAGGATTTACTGTGGGTTTTTTTGGTACTGGGGATCGAACTCAGGTCCTTGCACTTGCGAGGCAGGCGGCGGAACCACTGAGCTAAATCCCCAGCAGGATTTACTGTTGTGTTTCATCTAATCTAAGACACTTGTTCAATTTTTTTTTTCTTTTTTTTGGTACGGGGGATCGAACTTGGGACCTTGTGTTCAATCTTATTATTGGTTATTTTTAATCTCTTGCCATGCCAAATTTATGTTAAAATTTATCATTTATATGTATGCATAGGAAAAGCAGCATATATAGGATTTTGTACTATCTGCCATTGTGGCTATCCACTGGTTCTTCGGAATGTATCCCAGTATGCTAAGCCAGGCACATGCCTATAATCCTGCCAACTCTGTAGGCTGAGGGAGGAGGACCACAAATTCTAGGCCAGCCTAGGCAACTTAGTGCAAGACTCTTGTCTTAAAAAAAAAAAGACCAGGTATTGTGGGACATGCCTGTAATCCCAGCACTTGGAAGGCTGTGACAGGATGGTCACTGAGTTCAAGGCCAGCCTGAACTACGTAGCAAGGCCCTGTATCAAAAAACCAAAAATAACTAAAAAGGGCTATGGATATAGCTCAGTGGAGTGACTGCGGGTTCTATTCCCACTACTGCAAAAAACCGCCCCCCCAAAAAACCCTATTAATATGTGGCATAATGCTAAAATACCATTGACTGAAAAATGTATCCCAGTTCAAAGAGGTTGCCAGGCATGGTGGCACATGCCTGTAATCCAAGCACTCTAGAGACTGAGGCAAGAGGATTGCTATGAGTTCCAGGCCAACCTGGGCTGCATAGAATTCGAGGCCAGCCCAAACTACATAGTGGGACCCTATCTCAGAATTGTGTGTGTGCGTGTGTGTAAATAATTGTAGTGGGTCATTAAGAATCATTGAAGGATAGCTGGGGATATAGCTCTGTGGTTCTGCTGCCTGCCTTGCAAGCGGAAGGACCCAAGTACCAAAAAAAAAGAATCATTGAAGGATTTTTAAGCATAGAAGTTGTAGTAGATTTGTGCTTTTAAAAAGATAACAAATTTTAAATTATCTTGATTTCTCTTGTTTTCTTTATCTCTCCATTTCCTCCGAGAGCCTTTGGATATTACTTGTTCCCTCAGATGACCTCTGTCCTTGCTTTCTAACACTGTGCATTCAACCTCTAGGCTCTGCTTGTTTTTCCCCCTCTTCCTTCCTGCCATCATTCCCCTTCTTTGTAATAAAATCAGTCTAGAGCCTTGGGTTTCCACTTTTACTCCTGCATGTGATTGATGTTTCAGTTTCCCCTTTCATCTTCACATTGAGTGGTGTTTCGCTTTCTTCCTTTGACCTTCAGGGATTCCTGAGCCTCCATTCCCTTTCTCGTATCCTTGCAGTGCTGTCTGCCTCAATTGCCCAGACTTTCTTGCTGACCCCGGTCAACTACCTACAGCCTCACCCCACCTCCTAAGGTCATCTGCTGCCTTCCACTCAGTAAACCCCTCTCTTTCAGAGGCAGAGTGGAAGAGGAGGTGGAGAAAGAGCAGGGAGTCTTTGTTTTGTTTTTCTGGTACCGGGATCGAACTCAGGACCTTGGGCTTGTCAGGCAGGCGTGCTGCTGCTGAGCTACATCCCTGGCCCTTGCAGGGAGTCGTAAGGAAGCAGGCACTGGTTTTGTTTTTGGTACCGGGGATCGAATTCGAGACCTTGTATTTGTAAGGTAGGTGGCAGAACCACTGAGCTAAATCCTTGGCCCTTGGCACTGTTAACCCCAAGGGCTTCTTGACTTTTCTTTCTCATAGTTCACTTTTGTTCTCATTGCTTATGTTCATTTTTCCTAATTTTTTAGTCTTTGTTTTTTCCGTACATGCTTCTAACCAGGTTGAACTTGACGGTACCCAAGCAAGTCAGAAAAGCCTGTTGTTCATATTTCTTTACTGCCTATGTCCTGAGTACCATGTTGATACATTTCAGTTTTGGGCTGCTACCGTCTTTTTAGATCACCATATATTATTTTATTCATAAAACAGATGTTTAGTAACTTATCTTTTATGGCCAAAGACTTTTACAAGGTGCTTTACAGGTTACAGGTGCTTTTATGGTATCTTATTTGTGCCTTGTAATTATTCCTTGGAGCAAGAAAGAAATATTGAACATATTTTACAGATGAGGAGACTGAGGTCACAAGGTTAAGTGACTTAACTAGTATTTGGCTACCAGATGCCTAATTCAGAATGTAAGCTCAGCTTGGCAGCCTTTAAATCCTTTGCTCATCCTCCAGTACTGTACTAGGGCAGATTCAAGGGCTAAACATGTTGGTATAAAGATGCCCAGGGCTTAGGTGTCCAAGTCAGACTGAATTTGAATTTCACCTCTATTTCTTTTTTTTTTTTTGGTACCGGGGATCAAACTTAGGACCTTGTGCTTTCGAGGCAGGTGGCGGAACCACTGAGCTAAATCCCCAACTCTCACCTCTATTTCTATTACTGCGTGATCTTGGCCTGAGTATTTAGCTTGTCTGAAATAAGTTTTCCCAGGGCTGTTTGCTTGATTTTCAGCCTATAAGTATAATACTGGTTTGTTTCCTTTTTGTGGTGGTGGGAGTGAAAACCCAAGGTTGACAGTCACTCTACCATTTAGACCTCCAGACCTGTGATACAATTTTAGTTTTGGAAAGTTTGGTGGATACATAAAAGCACAAAGAAGAAAATGAAAATTAATATAATTACTACCTTAAGATAACCACTAGGGTGCATTCTTTGAGGTTTTAAAATTATAATTGAGATACTCTTTTTAAAAAAAATTTTTTTTAATTGAGATACTCTAATTGGGATATTTTTTGTTACACTATATGCTTGTTGGAAAAATAGTTTTTCATGGTGTAAGCACTCCCTTCCTATCCTTGTCTCACTCTGCAAAGGTATTAGTTAATTGTGTGTTGTCTTCACATTTTTTTAATGCATATAAAAATGTGGATATCATATTTCCTGCCCCACATTGGAATCATAAACACTTTGTACAACTTTTGCTGACAATTGGTTTACAATTTCATGTCTATATATATAAGCACTGTTTTAACCTGTGTTATATAATTATATTAGGATAAGATCAGTTATTATTTTAAGTTAATTTTAAAATTGACTGTGTGTGTATGTATGTATATTTCATTTATTTTTTGGTGCTGGGATTGAACCCTGGGCTTTTACACAGAGCTGCATCCTTAGCTCTTTTAAAAATTTTTTAAGGGCTGGGGATTTAGCTCAATGGTTTCCCCAACTGCTGTGCGAGCGCAAGGACCTGAGTTCGATCCCCGGTACCAAAAAAAAAAAAAAAAAGAGGCCTCAGATATGTCTTAAAATTTAAATTTCAGGGTTAGGGATTTAGCTCAGTGTTTCCGGCGCCTGCCTCACAAGCCTAAGGTCCCGAGTTTGATCCTCGGTACCAAAAAAAAAAATTTTTTTTTTTAAATTTTGAGACAAGGTCAGACCTCCGCACCCCAGTTGGTGCCTAAAACCATGGATAGTTTTAAATCCTGTATATATTGTGTTTTTTCTGTATGCCCTGTAGTGTTGCCACGTGGCACCAAAATTAATCTGTGCTTCCACATTTTATACCCTGATGCCTCTTTTTTATTAATCTCTCTTCTTGCATCTTGGGACCATTATTAAGTAGGATAAGGGTTACTTGAGCAAAAGCTCACAGTACCTTGATAGTGGATCTGAAAACTGAGGTGGCTACTAAGTAATGGCAAGTGGCATGTTCACTGGATACCATGGATGAAGGGATGATTCAGGTCCTGGTGGAGCAGAGTGAGATGGCACAGGATTCATCACACTGTGGAGAACAGTGGGCAGTTTAAAACATGAATTGTTTATTTCTGGAATTTTCCATATAGTATTTTTGGACTGCAATTGACTGTGGGTATCTGAAACCACAGAAAGCAAGACCACAGATAAAAAGGGACTAATGTACTTCTAATACCTTGTATTAACCACATGGGAAAAACTTGAGCTTGAAAAAACATCATCCTGTTTGCTTTAGGCACTTAAAATTCTTTTTTTGACTAAAATTGAATTTGCATCTCTTACTCATTTGTTTAACTCAGGGTCTTAGCTTGTTGGAAGTGAAAGACCAGCTGCTGCTCATGTACCTTATGGATTTGAGCCACCTCATCCTGCACAAAGCCTCAGGAGGATCTCTTCAGGGACACACAGCAGTTTTGAGACTAGTAGAGATTCGCACGGTATGAGGGCTTTGGTGTCGTGGAATGCTAGGTTTCTAAATCTTGAACTCCGAAACTGTTACACAGTAGCTCTTGTTTACGTGAGAGTTCTCCTGTTTAAGAAAACCAATGAACAAAAGGTATTTTGCTCTTCATTTGCTCTACTTCGTGCATATTTTAGGTACCTTACTGGCCAACAGCACAGGGCCTCTGGGGCATATTTGACTTGAGGAAGGGAATGTAATCCTGTTTAATACATTGTAGGGCTGGGGATTTAGCTCAGTGGTTCCGCTGCCTGCCTCAGAAGCGCAAGGTCCTGAGTTTGATCCCTGGTGCCAAAAAAAAAAAAAAAAATTAAAGTTATTACATTGTAGGTTTTGGAAAAGCTTCGTCCCTTGGACCAAAAACTGAAGTACCAAATTGACAAACTGGTGAAGACTGCAGTGACAGGCAGCATCAGTAAGTAGGAGGACCCTCATAAAGGTGTGGGGATCATCATAAAGTTCCAAATCTTGCAAAATCTCTTGGATTTTGTATTTCAGGTGAGAATGACCCACTTCGTTTTAAACCTCATCCCAGCAATATGATGAGCAAGGTAAGGGGTACATTTTCCTCCTGCTTTTCCTGAAGGAAAAGGAACCCCTTGGTGGTCCTGAATTTCCTGGGATTCTCTTGTGACTTGATTTTCTAGCTTGTACCTTAGGATGTTTCAGTATGAGGTTCCCTTTTCTTCCTTTTGTTCATACTTCATCTCCCCAGAGCACTCCAGCTTTGGGTTTTTTTCTCACTTGTCTAATAGTTCCCACATTTGTGTCCATCATTTCTTTTTTTTTTTTTGGTACCAGGGATCGAACTCGGGACCTTGCGCTTGCGAGGCAGGCGCTGGAACCACTGAGCTAAATCCCCGGCCCCTTGTGTGCATCATTTCTTTCGTAGTTGAGCTCTGAGGATGAAGAGAAAGATGAAGCAGAGGATGGCCAGTCTGAGGCTTCAGGGAAGAAAGCTACAAAAGGAGTATCTAAGAAATACGTTCCACCACGCTTGGTTCCAGTGCATTATGGTATGAATTGTGGCTGCTGACTCCTTGGCACGAGCTGTGTTTCCATTCTCCTTTTTCTGTTCTGAGATAACCCTTATGTATTTTTATCACATAGATGAAACAGAAGCTGAGCGGGAGAAGAAGCATCTGGAACGAGCCAAGAGGCGGGCGTTGAGCAGCTCTGTTATTCGTGAACTTAAGGAGCAGTACTCGGATGCACCAGAGGAGATCCGTGATGCTCGCCATCCCCATGTCACACGCCAGAGTCAAGAGGACCAACACAGGTAGAAGTTATTTCCGCTTGGGCCAGGGATTTAGCTCAGTGGCACAGTGCCTGCATGGCAAGCATGAGGTTCTGAGTTTAATCCCAGTACCAAAAAAAAAAAAAAAGAAGTTATTTCCACTCTGTAGACACTTGACCTCAGACTTTGGATGAATGTGGAGTTAAAGACTTGAAATGATATTTCTAGGAATTAAGGAGTTTGAAGTAGAAAAAAAAGTATTTTTTTCTTTCCTTTCCTTTTTTTTTTTGGTGTTGGAGACTAAATCCAGGGCCTTTGTTTGCATTGAGCTGTATCCTAGCCTTTTTTATTATGATTTTTTTTTTTTTTTAATTTTGAGACAGTGTCTTGCTGAGACACTAAATTACCTGGGTTGGGCTTAAACTTGTGATTCTTCTGCCTCAGAATGCTGGGACTACGGGTGTGCACACTGTGCCTGCACCCCCCCCCCTTCTGTGTAGGCTCAACCAAATGCTATGTAGAGAGAAATGTATTACAGTAGTAGGGTATTTATTTGTTTGTCTGTCCATTTCTTTGTTTGTACTGGGTATCGAACCCAGGTCCTCCTTTATGCTAGGGCAGGTACTTTTCCCCTCAGCTACATCTCAGCACTGTCTGTCTGTTGATCCCTTTTTGAGACAGAGTCTTGCTGTGTAGTTTAGGCTGCCCTTGAACTGACTATGTAGCCTAAGCTAGGCTTGAACTCACAACAATCCTCCTGCCTCAGCCTCCCAAGTGCTGGGATTACAGGTATGTGCCAATGTGCCTGACAACCTCTTTTAAAATTTTGTTTTGTTTGGTACCAGGGATTGAACTCAGGCCCTTCCGCTTGAGAGGCAGGCGGCAGAACCACTGAGCTAAATCCCCAGCCCTTAAATTTTGTTTTAAAACAGCATCTTGCTGAGCTGCCTAGGGTAGCCTCCAACTTGGTTTTTTTTTTGGTACTGGAGATCATACTTGGGACCTCGAGCTTTCGAGGCAGGTGGCGGAACCACTGAGCTAAATCCCTGGCCCATGGCCTCCAACTTACGATCTTCCTGCCTCACCTTCCTGAGTAGCTAGGATTACTGCACCTGCTTAGTAGGGCTTTAGTATCCTGTGTTTTACTGTCACAGCTCTTATTCTTGTGCAGAGGCAATAAAGGCAAGTTTTTTATAGTGGCGTTGAAAGTATTGTATAACTTCAGGGAAGAGAAGTAGAGACACACTTGTGGCTTGAGTGCCGGTTCATCAGCTTTGCTCAGGTACAGTCTGTACAGTTGACAGACTGTAGAGAGCTGAAATAGGATTTTCTGGTATGATGTTTTACATAGTTGTAATGATGGGCCATGGGCTTATTTCTAGGGATGAGGGAAATCCTAGCACAGAGAACCCTCCCTGCAGAAGCTTGACACAGAGCATTCTCTGTGTCCCTACTGACTGTGGTATTGAGTTGTGACATTTTCTGCAAACTTGCTGAACTTTGATGAGTAAATAACCAGGCCCCAGGTTCTGGACTATAGCTTTCCATCACCTTGGTCTGAGCCTGCTGGAAACAGTGTCTGTCTTTTTCTGACAGGATTAACTATGAGGAGAGCATGATGGTGCGTTTAAGTGTCAGTAAGCGAGAGAAAGGACGGCGAAAACGGGCAAATGTTATGAGCTCACAGCTTCATTCCCTCACACACTTCAGCGATATCAGTGCATTGACAGGAGGAGTTGCTCATCTTGATGAGGTGAGCTCAAGATACAGTGGTAGGAAGCAACTGTCAGGCTTCCACCCATATGCATGGGGGGCTTATTACCCTGAGGAACTTGGGGAGGGTTGTTGGCACTTGGAGACACACCGTCGTTCCTTCACTTCTCCATCTGTTTTCAGGATCAGAATCCTATTAAGAAGCGGAAGAAGTTATCTAAGAAAGGGCGGAAGAGAAAAGGTCAGTGAGCTGCTAGGACTTAGGTGATCAGGTACAAACAAGGTGGGGACTTCAAACTGTCATCCTGGTCTCACTAACCCCCATAATATCTCTTCTGTGCTGGATATTAATCTCTTTCGGTAGACTTACTTGTTTTTTTTTTCTTTCCCAAGCTCAAAATCAGCATCATTCCCAAAAAGGATCTTTAGATTTCATGTCTAAGGCCCAACAGATCCTGTTTAGCCTTCCTTGTATAGAACTATAAAAATGTTACCTGAAGGAACCATTGTTCTATTTTAATTTCATTCCTTCCCAACACCAGTTGGGAAGATGTAGAGCATATTGCTTGGGAAGCCACCACCTCTGTTGAACCCTTCTCTCTAGGTGTCCTTTTTCCCCTTTCTTTGGTTTTTCCAACTGTCCTTTGCCTCATTCTTGGTTTCCCTTCCTTTCAGGTTTTCGGAGGCGACGATGATGATGGGTGTACATATTTTATGTATTTTTTATCATCCTTGGGATATTTCTAATTTCATTGTATGTTAGTTTTTTCCCTTGGAATTCATTAATTGTTTGCTTTGGACATATGGAAAGAGCTTTACTAATAAAACTGATTTTGCTTACAAATTAAAACCCCTTTTGCACATGTATTGTATGACTGGAATTGTTGGATGTGTGAGGTATTTTTGGTGAATGGGTGAAAATGAAAAGATGAAATGATTTAAGAAGTTTGGCTTTGTAGTTTTCTTTGATGATATATTTTTCCCAGAAACTAGGAAGTGGTTATTTTACAAAAAACTTGACAGTTTAGAGTAATCAACTCTTCCCAGTCCATATTTCCCTGACTTCCTGTATGTTTTGCTAAAATGTAATACAACTATTTTAAGATTTGCTAATGTACCTAGTCTGGCCACCAGGTGGCATTAGTGATTCAGGAAACCTTTCCTACTTGACTTTAATGAAAACCAAGATAGAGCCATTCTACACCAGCGCTAGTTATTTTTGTCTCCATTACTCTGGATACTTTCTTTCTAAAATAACATGAACATAAAAAAAGAAATAACATGAACATATTTTTGATTATCTGTCAGTTACTGAGCATTTGTAGAGAATTAGTAGAGTGAACAGAAGACTAGAGTGAAGAATCAATAGTCCTGTGTTTTTCAGCCTCTTTGACCCTCCTATAACTAAGGTCTCTGTTTGCTAGAGTTCATAAAGGCCATCCCTTTTACAGAGAGCTGCAAAAGAATGCCAGCAAACAGGCAGGCAGAAAATTCCTAGCTTAATAGTCAAAAGAAGGAAAGTCCCACAGAAACATCAGCCAAGTCCAAGTTAGGAGACTGGTGGGAGTTACATATATCTGAGATATTTTATCTAGTGAGTAACCTTAATTGGTGAGAGATCCTGCAGGCCTTAGATAATGCAGAAGATGAAAAGAGGAATAAAAAGAGAGACAGGCCATAGAATTCATTGGAATTTTTAAAAAGGGTTTTGGTCTCATGAGCATTTAATTTCAGTGTCTGGCTTTCCTGGCCTATATCATGAGCAAGAATATACTTGGTTGATTGTGAATTCTATTAGTATGGATTTATACTATTCTGCCTGATTGGGGCAAGGGTCTGTTTTCAGTCAGCTGCAGCCTGGTAGAAGTTAGTTAGAAGATAAGATTGATGGCTGGCTGCCTTGTGCTAATTGTGTCACCTTGATCAAATCACTTAACATCTCTGGCCTCTAATTTTGCTCAGCTAAAAAGTGAACATATCTCAGATTTTCCTCCAAATTAAAGAGCCTACAGCTTTCTGCATGGCACCAGGATGGGCTTGCCTCTAACTTCTAGACCCTGGCAGATCTGAGGGAGCTCACTGACATTCCCTGTGCCCTTATATTTCTTTACCTCAAGTGAGTCTAAACAAAGCCACAAAAACAGATGTGGCGATTCTTTTCCTTTTCTAGATTAAAGTAACTGAGTAAGTGGTTTGATTAAAAAATGTTCTGACTGGAACCAGCACATTAATTTCTTAGGACCACCACATTTATTTCTAATTTATTAAGATTTTTGGATTAGGGGATTTCTTTTTTTGAAAAATTTTATATTGTATTATATGCTGAGCTAAATGCTTTATACTTAATCATTGCAAAATATATGGTATCTCCATTTCACTAGTGAGGAAACTGAGACCCTCAGCTTAAGGACTTTGTCCAGAGGCATCTGTCTGGGACATTAGAGAACCAGTTCCAGAGGAGCACAGAGAACTGGGAACTTCATGCGTTCTTTGGTTTATGAGTCTCCAGGATTTTTGTTCTGTTTTTAAAAATGTAGGTAATTTATAATCTGTAGCTCCCTCTCCCTATTGCCACGTTTCTGTTAGAGGCTTTGCCTTCAAAGAAATCTCAAACTCTAGGCACTGTGCTGGCCTCTTGCTCGTATAGCAGTGAACAGAACAGACAAAATCCCTGCCTTTGTGTACTTTATATTGAGTTTTTAATTCCAGGACATCTTGTTCTTCTTGACCTTTTGCCATTGTTTGAAAAAAGAATCATTTTTGAGGATATTGCACCAGAGTCACCAAATAATATTTAGAGCATATTTTATGTGGACTTTTAATGTGAAAATCAGGCATAAGTGGGGGTTACTTTGAAGTGAACATGAAGAGGTCCTGAAGTTCCTTTTTTTTTTCTGGTGTTGAGGAGTAAACCCAGGATTTTTTCACTGGCCTATATCCGCAGCCTTTTTTTTTATTATGTTATTTTGGGACAGGGTCTTGATAAGTAAGTTACCCAGGCTGGGCTCAAATTTGTGATCCTCCTGCTTCAGCCTCCCAGAGTGCTGGGATTACAGGTGTGTGCCACTAGGCCTGGCTAAGTTCCATGTTCTTATGACCCCCTTTCCCTAAGATTCTTGAGGATCTTCAAAGAACCTTTAGAATTCCACTGATCCTAGTTTGAGAAACACTTTTAGAGTAGTAGAGCTGGAGAACTGAAAATGTTAGGGTTTCTTTGTTCACGTTTTTTTTCTATTCCTACCCATAGGTTCAGTTCTCTGATCCTTCAGACCACAGAGACCATTTCTAATGCTCACTAAGAAATATTTGTCATTAGCACACACGAGCACTTGTCCACTGTTATCAGGTGATAGTAAAAGCCCTAGACAACTCAGCATCTCTGCCTTATTTGTTTCATCTTATGGAGTGCGGAACAGAGATTGTCAAAGGCCTGTTTTTACCTCAGAAGCTTTGTTAGGATTTTGTGAAAGCTTGGAGAAGTGTCTGTTCGGTTCACAGCAGTCTCCATGGATACATTATTAGAAAAATACACTTTGTTTATGAGGAAGGAATGGTCGGACTGCAGGACATTAGTTTTCAGCACCACGGAGAGTTCACGCTCTCGGTCCTCGCCTTTGGTTGGTGGTTAGCTACATAACTCAGCGCTGCATGGTGAAGTCCTGCCCCTTTTCACAGAACAGTTTATCTGTCCAGACTCCAGGTCTGATTGGTACAGATTGGATGTGAGTTGCCACCCTCTTCAATGTCTTTCATCCTCCCTGGGATCTGTTAGCTCTTTAAGCCCCAGATTCATGCCAAGGATTTGACCAACTTGATGAAGGTGTATGAATGAAACCCTGCCTTTTGCTCTATTGGCAACATCATTGGTATTGTGATGCACAAGATTTTTACCAGCACTTGAGAAATACTCTGTCTTCTATTTTTCTTTGCTTACAGACCCTTGAGGAGACTTAAAGTTGCTTTTTCATTCCTTGGGTCTCTTTTTCTGCCTTGCATAGAGAAAGGCATCATTACTCTGGCTCTCTGCCCAGTCTTGGTTTTGTATTTCTTTGATCTCATTGTTCAGAGGGTCTCAGAGCAGCCCCAAGAGCCATGCCTTTGCATGTTTAAGCTATTGATGCTTTTGAAATAACAGAGTGTTGCTGTGTAAGAAGTGTATTAAAGGTCTATCTTGAACAAATTTGGGTCAATAGGTGGCAGTAGTTACTGAGTCCTGAGGCCCTGAGCACAAGAACATTTGATAGCCATTATATTTTTAAGGGTATGAGAAAGAGGTCACGTTGAAATAGAAATGGGGAGAAAAGCAATCCTTTTTGGTAGAATCCAGGAAATGCTGAAATGTACTGAGTTTCTTCTGTGTAGTGTTGTGTGGGGAGAAGGGCACTGGTTGAAAAGACTAGGAACACATCTAAGATGTGGGCACTCTTTGAGCAAGGGTATGGCTGCGTTAAATGAGAGCCAGTCCTGAAAGGATGGAGTAGGGTTGGGGGGCGTGCTGAGCTGTGAGAGGGGACCATGGAAAGGGTGGGCTGTGAAGGGAAAGACTGCGGTTAGAGGGGGAGGGGTAACCGGCTGCAATACTGAGCCTGTCTCATGGGGGAGGGGAGGGGAGGGGAAGATATTGGTCTGTGCTGCAGCTGCATTGGCTCCCCTCCCCCACCCTTCCTTAGCCAGAGCTGCGCTGGCAAATCTGTCTTCATGTATTTATTATTATTAAAAATGTGACGATCCATCCTCCCTGAAAGCACAACAAATACTACTGATCACATTTTCCTCTCCACTCCCTGTGCAGAGCCTGTGCATTCTCTTTCTCTCCACTCTCCACCCTGTCCTCCCCCCCAGGTCTCTTTGCCTGAAGGGGGGACCCTTCCCCTCCTTTCCTTCTGGAGCTTGGTGGCTCCCTGGGGGTTTCTAATGGTGGTTGGGAGTTTCAAGGCAATGCTAAGAGGAAGCAGCTGAGTGAGGGGCATCCATTGCCCCAGGGATGAAGCTGTACTCTAATGTCCAGTGAGGAAAGGAAATCACTCAGAAATAAAGATAAAATCCTTTCCCCAGCTAATGAAAAAAGCAGCAGCTGCTCACATCCTTTTCTGTACCTGGCATTCCTCCCCTTTCAAGCCCTTCTCTTTTCTATTGCCTGAATTCTGAGGGGAGACCCCCTTGCAATGGAAAAAGCCAAGAGTTCGCTCTCCTCCCTCCCTTACCTTGTTAAGTCCCTCTCTTCCCAGGAGAGCCATATACAATTTATTCTTCTAGCCTGCATGTTGTGCTGCTGAGAGGTTTGTAGGGCAGAAGCCATGGCTTCTCCCTCCCCACCTGCACCCCAGACTCCTGTGCCCAGGCGGGGGCCTCTTTGTTGCTGTCTGTAATGCTCCACCATACCTATAGGTGGTGCTGCTGTTGCTCTGCAGGCAGGGCCCTCCTCCCCAGAATCATTCCTGCCCACCGGTCACCCTCCCCCTTCCCCCAGCCCTCTACTGCCTGATTGTTATTCCACCAACGTCTCCTTTACTGTTCCCTTCCTCAAATTAATTTTGTGGCGCTCTTTTTTCCGCAGTGCCGTCTTCCTCCCCTCCCCCCTGCTCTAGCTTTCTTGCTTTCTCTCTGTTTCTCTCTGTTTGCAGGAGCTCCATCTCCCCTATCTGAAAGCTGTATCTTACCCCTTTTCTTTTTCCCTATCCCTTTTACTCTTCTCATCTTACAGATAGATGACTCTTCTAATGTAAGGGGCTATAGAGGAGAATGAGGTGAGGAAAATTAAGGGATCAACACTGAGACTGTTCGGGGAGTCACAGACTGTAAAGGGAACATACGGAGACTGGAAAGGTATCCTTTACTGTCCGTACCTAT